TGCTGGGCGTGGGGGCGCTGGCGGCGGCCGTGGCCTTCCTCGGGGAGGTGGCTCTGCGCACGCGTGCCCGCGCCGCTCCCGCCGCCCGCGCCGCCCGCGCCACCCCTCTGGGGCCGGGCCGGCTCTTCAGGCGCCGCTAGGAGAATCTGCTCTCTCAAGTCACTTGCGATACGAGTGGGAAACGTGGCGTGTTGTTTTTATTGTAGAAAAGGGTACGACATGAGGCCGACACGCCGAATGGCATAATCCCACGAAATTGAATCAGTGTTACCGTGTGTGTCTTACACTATTTTTTGTCAGTCATACTGACTTTCATTCTAAGGAAGCAAATCCCTTAATTGGTTACTTTTATACATTATACACGGAGTAGCTGATGCTGTTAGACCAAAGTATGTTTTAGTTTTAACTGCACATTTGACCATCATCACATTTATGTACTAGTGATAAAAATTTAACATTTAACACGCAATGCATGCTCTTAAAATAATGGCTTTTACAAGCGTATGTTTAAAACTTTTGTTACATAATGATCTAATGTGTCAGGAACCATGAACCAAGATTTGTTGGTACAAAATAAAATTAAAAACGGTCAAGAACATTATCGCCGTGTAGGTTTCATCTTGTGTACTATATTTATTTTTGAATTCCAATGGAAAACCTGTCTTTTGACGTAGGTGAAAACCGTTACATTTTCACCATCCATCGGCAGACCAGTGAGATTAGCAGTTTACAGGTAAGTATAAGCTTTTATGTATGCAGTATTATCGATTAGTGCACAATCATACCCCTATTTATGATCGAGGACATCCCTACTGGCTACCTCTCTGATGACTCTTGTTAATTTTGTGGAATTGAAGATAAAAAGAAAGCTAGTGAGAGGTAAGACAAAAAATTCTTTAGAATATCGTGGACGGAACAGATTTTTTGGGAGATGGAAATTAATTTGGTTGTAAGAGCATCGCTGGTTTTTCAGAGGTTAAAGTAGCTGGTGCAAGGTTCAGTTTGAAGGTTAGAAAAGAATTTGAACAACAGAAAAGAAATGTAATTTTTAATTGGTTCTTTGTGTCCTTTTGTACGAAGTTGTCTATTGGTTACATACCACAGGAAATTGGTAATTGTACGAAGCATTATATTCTGGAAGTTTGATAAGGGTTTCAGAACGGAAGAAGCGGCAGCTCCCCAAATTGGGTCTGCGAAAGTTATTGGGAGTCATAGGATTAATTTTTAAAGAAACAGATAACTTTCATTTTTAAACCCGACTTTTTATTTAAGTGGATATCATTTGATTAGGGCTCCATAAGTTTTATTCAGTCTCTGAATAATATGAGGTTTCCATGTGAGACGAGTATCCAGGAAAACGACCAGATATTTGATTGGTTTATTTGAAGGGGCCCATGTAATCGGCTGATTAGTTACTTTCAAGGGGGAAGGGATGTTTGTTCTCCACAAGTTAAAATTTGGGTTTCGCATTTTGAAGGGTTTTGCTGTACTCCCCATTTTGTTATCCATTCAGAAATATCTAAACCTAATTTTCTCAAAACGTTCATTTTAAATATTTGTTTCAATGTTAACATTTGACCTAATGCATGCATTTGTGTTATTTTTGATTATCGATCAATACCTTCAACACGAACAAATACTGAGATTTTCCTAGGTTTCTTATGTCTGAATTTGTATACTGAAAAATGAGTAGTTTAAGATTCAAATTAATAATGCTTGATTAAAATTATGATTTAATAAGTAATGCCTGATTTAAACCGTTCAGAATTTACTGGATATGTTATTATTCTGACTCACTTTTTACCCACAAACTTAGTCAAGGTAATGGTGCCCCAGTGCAATCGCACACATTCCGATGAGGCCCAAGGGGGAGGTGAAGGTATGGCTCCTCGTATGCGTCGCCGTCGGCACAAGGAGGAGGTTGTGTAGTGAGTTCAACGCTCCGGCCGCCTTTACCCCCAGAAAAGATCCTGGTACTCACCTGAAAGTCCTGAGTCGACCTCAAAACCGTCTTGAACGGAAATCGTTAGATAAGAATCCCAACCTATGCCGGGATTAAAACCTGGGACCTTCAGGTCAGGTTCAGGAAGCCAGTGATCTACCACAGAGCCACCGCGACCCCAACAAAGTTACTCTCTAGTTCCTAATTTTGGAAATATAAAATAATAATAGTGGTTAGATACATATTTGCAGCCGCCCAATTGAAATTAACAATTTTTTAATTGATTTTTTTCATTCAAAATATAGCTTTTCATTAATAGAGAAACATCTAAACAGACATTCAAAATTTCAGTATAAAATTCAAGTTCAAAAGATGGATTCGAAACAAATGGAAAAAACTAATTCAATTTCTAGTAGTGTAAAATTTTGCTAGGTTTTTGTAAATTGCTGGTATTTAATTTGAATCACTAATTCTATATCAGATGATCTCACGAATTGATTGATATTGATTAAATCACGGATGCTTTTATGAATTTCTTTTTAGCACTTGCAGTTAAATACATTAATTATTAGATTTGTTTTCTTACATACAAAATTCGATCATACACAAAGTTTATTAACAATGTATAACAAATGTTTTGTTTAACCACCCATCCTGGTCAACGAGTTAGATGTCGGGTGTACCTAAATAATTAAAGCACATGGAGTTGAAACCTGGTTAGCACCCGCTAAATTGATTTCCAAATAATTGTATTCAAATTACGAATATGTTTCTTCACTGGTTATTAGTTTTTGAAACAAGACATTTATAAATTCCACGTTGAAAAATATAGTCATTTCACGGAATAGGGTAAGGAGAAAAAGAAGAGCAATAGGACAAAAATGAAGAAATATTAACTGACCATATTCTTCTTTAACTAATATCTTCCCAGTGCCATCGAGAGACGGTTATCGAGCTCCAAACTATAGTTGCAGTGTGCGTATTTGTAGTATGATTTTGTTACTCATTGTTTAACGTTTACGTAAATTTGATTTTATTATTAAATTGTGCATTGATAATTCTCAGCTCATGAGAGTAAATGTGCCTTCAAGTTATTAATGGAAAAGTGAAATACTTGAGACAAAACCAAGAATTATATTTAATTATATTATTCCAGAAACAGTAATAAACAAGTAACATAACAATATATATGGTTCGACATTCTTCATCATTTACACTATAAATAGGGATAAAGTTAAAATTGTAGGGTAATTGTCATAGAGCAATAACAATGAAGAGCGGTGAAACATAGTTATTTAAGTATTTTATTTTCTGTCTCTGAAACGATTCACGTACTATGTACACTATGATCATGAAGAGGTGTAATGAAATACCAAAACGATCTTTTTGCAGATAGTGGGAAATAATTGATTATAAACGGGATAGTCAATAAAAAAAGTCCTCTTCCCTCTGCCATGTCCGTGCTCGGCACTCCTCTTTTGGTTTCACTTCTTGGAGCAGCAGGTCTTTTGTAGCGTCATGAGGCTGCTTGACGAGGGTGATGTTACCTGAGTAGGTGACGGAGTAACAAGTCAGGTATGGAAGAGAAGAACTTTACATTATTATTATTATTATTATTGTTATTATTATAGAGTAATGATGAGGGATGAAAGGATTAGTATGATGGTAGGGGGTGTTAGGTGGGAGGTGTTCGTGGGATTTGGAGCCATCCCAGCATTCGCCTTGTGATCGAGGGAAACCATGAAAACGTCGGACAGGATGGCAGACCCAGGGATCGAACCCGGTCTTCTAGATTACTAATAAAGCCATTTTGTTCGTTAAATTGCATTATATTTTAATAGCTTTTTAAAAGTATGTCAAATATACCGGGAGAAGTGTCTCAGTGCATCAACAGATATCACTGTAGTGCCTGTGACCGGGAGGTATCTTGTCAGCAGCAATTTTTAAGCATTTTATATACAACAATTTTTCATTTAAACTATGTATTACTAAATTCAAAGTGCAAATGCTACTGAATTAAAATAACTTCTATTATACACATACAATTGCTTGTTCAAGAATTATAAGATAGTTTCTAAAAGAATATTTAAGATGTACTATAGGCGTTTCATTCTTTCCTTCTCCGTTCCTAAGATTAACGGGAATGTATGCTTATTTTATGCTATCTATCATGTTTTCATAAGTTAACAAATAACTATTTTTCCTTGAATAAATATTTGTTAATGTTAAATATTTTTATCAATAAATAACTAAACAATTTATTGACAACCTCAACGACTATGACTTTAGCAGCTGACAAGTCCGGAAACAGCAACCAATCGACTTAAATTTTTTATCAGGTACCCTAATGCACGGCTTAAATGGGTTTTGGAGTCACCTCAAAATATCATCAGGGGTGGCGTATCTAATCCATAATGGGCAACTATAACAATTCCACAACGAAGATGTAAGAGT